ACTCCATTATTTCTGCTACCATATGGCTAGGCAGGGTATCCTGGGATCCCTCAAAAAGATCCCTATGATGGGCAGCAATGAAAGTTTGCAAGAGAAATGACTTAAAAGCTGAGCCTTAGTACTGTTGAGCCCTCAGGCCAGGAAGAGGCAAAGTGGGTGAACAAAGGGACCACTTCCTTACACCATACACAAAAATAAATTCAAAATGGATTAAAGACCTAAATGTGAAACCTGAAACCATAAAAATCCTAGAAGGGAACACAGGTAGTAACCTCTTTGACATCAGCTGTTGCAACTTTTTTCTAGATATGTCTCCCAGCAAAAGCAAAAGTAACTATTGGGATTACATCAAAATAAAAGGCTTCTGCACAGCAAAGGAAACAATCAACAAAATTAAAAGAGAACCTACTGAATGGGAGAAGGTATTTGCAAATGACATATCAAAAAAAGGGTTATTATAAAAAATACATAAATAACTTAAACAAATCAAACCCAAAAAACAAATAATCCAATTAAAAATGGGCATAAGACATGAACAGACATTTCTCCAAAGAAAACACACAGATGGCCAACAGACACACGCAAAGATGCTCATCATCACTTATCATCAGGGAAATGCAAATCAAAACTGCAATGAGATACCACCTCACACCAGTCAGAACAGCTAAAATCAGCAACACAAGAAACAACAGGTGTTGGTGAGGATGTGGAGAAAAAGGAAAAGGAACCTTCCTACACTGTTGGTGGGAATGCAAACTGGTGCAGCCACTGTGGAAAACAGTATGGAGTTTCCTCAAAACATTCAAAATAGAATTACCTTAGGAACCAGCAATCACACTACTGGGTATTTACCCAAAGAATACAACAACGCTAATTCAAAGCGGTATGATAGCAGCATTCTTTACAATAGCCAAGATATGGAAGCACCCCAAGTGTCCATGGCTAGATGAATGGATAAAGAAGATGCGGTACAGATATACAATAGAATATTATTCCATAAAAACGAATGAAATCTTGCCATTTGCAAGGACATAGCTAGAGCTAGAAAGTATCATCCTAAGTGAAATAAGTCAGTCAGAGAAAAGACCACATGACTACACTCACATGTGGAATTTAAGAAACAAAACAAAGAAGCAAAGGAAAAAAGAGAGAGAGAAATAAGCCAAGAAACACATTCTTAACTACAGAGAACACACTGATGGTTACCAGAGGGAAGGTCGGTGGGGGGATGGGTTAAACAGGTGATGGGGATTAAGAAGGACACTTGTGGTAATGAGCACCAGGTGCTGTATGAAAGTGTTGAATCACTATATTGTATACTTGAAAGAAATACAACACTGCACGTTAACTACCTGGAATTAAATAAAAACCTACAAAAAAGGAAAAGGAATGGGGTGAAGATTGTGAGAAGGAGAAAGAGATGGGAACCTGGAGAAGGTGGGCAGGGGTCTTGGCAGAGACTGGAGAGGGATGGAGACCCAGGGAGGGGCTGCTATGCAAGACGTCCCCAGCTTCAGTCTTTCCAACTGTTAAGTGGAGATTCTAATACTTTCTTCTCAGGATTTGAGTGAGAAATTGGTTGGATCTATTTTCCCCAACATGGGTTTTGCAAGGTGATTTTGGTTAAGCAGCATTCACGTTCACGGTTCTTTTGGTGTGCATTGGGGGAAAAAAAATGAACAGAACTCCAGCTATATATATATATATAGATATATATATATAGCTTAGGGCAAAGATGCTTTCTGTTAAAAGTGAGTTGATTTATAGCACAGATGGTATGTGGAGAGAGTCACAATCCCAAAGGCAGCATGGGAGTGAGTGAAGGCGGGGAATAACAGAGTGGGAGGACCTCAGCAGAGCATGTAGTACAATGCCAGGCATGGAATACATTGTCAAGAGAGGGATGGTAACAGTTCTTGTCAGCACTTCCAGGGCTGGGGCTGCTGGTGGGGAAGTGTGGATTAGTAGTGCCTGGCTCCCAACTGTTCAGCCACAGCTGGGAGTTCAGCCTTTGTCCTTTTGGAGCTGAGCTGGGCTGGGCTGAGGCAACTGTGGAGAGCTGGCTTGGGGTAGGGAGGTTGGCCAAGTGCATCAGTGGAGTGGGGAGAGGGCTTGAGGGAAAATTGAGGGGAAAAGGGTGGACAGGGAGGGCTGGGGGTGGGTGGGCCTCCCCACCCCCACTCCCACCCTTCATCACCCTTGGCTTATGCTGACTGAAGTCTGGACAAAGGCCAGGGTAGGGAGCTCTGATTACAGCTGGAGAAGAACAGACAGGTTCAGCCCAGGGGCTAAGAGGAGAAGAGGCAAGGGATCATCCGCCCTGCATCTAAGATTGAGTCTAAGAGAAGGGAGCAATGTAACCACAATGACATGGTGATGGCAGGCGCCACTTCCCCTGGGGGGCATTTCCATCCAAGCCCCTGGCTTTCAAGGAACTGACATTTTGGGGGGCTCATTAGGAATTCCAGCAGCGTCTGATGCACAACTCCAAACCCCAGTCCAAGAGCACTAAAGAGGTTTCAGAGTCAGGCCTATGGGGTCTGGGCTAAATACCAAAGCCCTCTGAATTTCCACTTTTAACATAAAGAAAATTTACTCGGGGCCCCTGGGTGGCTCAGTCGTTAAGCGTCTGCCTTCGGCTCAGGTCATGATCCCAGAGGCCTGGGATCGAGCCCCACATCGGGCTCCCTGCTCAGCGGGAAGCCTGCTTCTCCCTCTCCCACTCCCCCTGCTTGTGTTCCCTCTCTCACTGTGTCTCTGTCAAATAAATAAACAAAATCTTTAAAAAAAAAAAAAAAAGAAAATTTACTCAGCCCAGGAAGGCCACAAAGACAAAAGACTTAAAGAACAACTAAATCATTTTGAGAAGTTTTTTTTTTTTTTTCTTTTTAAGGGCTATTGAAACTTTAAGGATCATTTCTCTGCCATAAACCTTCAGTGGCTCCCTAGCACTCATTGAAGACAAAATTCCTAAACCCAGTCATTCTGAACTACAAATTGCTTAACCCCTTTGTTCTACCTGTAAAATGAGAATGTCATCAGTACCTGTTCAACAAGATAGTTGAGAGTTAAAATATTTAGAACTGTGCCTGACCGTAGCTGGTGCTGAGTGTGCTGTTCTTAGAAACACAAACCTGTTTCTCCCCCCATCAGGGCCTTTGCACACGCTGTATCCTTTGTTCAGAATGCTGGGCCCCAATCTCTTTACTTAGTTTACTTCCACTTTTCTTTCAATCCCAGTTCACCAGGGACTTCCTTATGAAAGGCTGTCCTTTTACCTTGAGTCCCCCCAGTCTTGGTCAGTCCAACTTTAACTAAATTCTTTCCTTCATGGTATTTATCACAGTGGTACATTATTTGCCTTACTCTTTGATGAATAACATCAGCCTCCCCACTCAACTGTAAACTCCACAAGGGTAGTGTCATGGGCTGAATCGTGTCCCCCCAAATTCATATGCTTAAGTCCTAATCCCCAGTACCTCAAAATATGGTTGTATTTGGAGATGGGTCCTTCAAAGAAGTGATTAAGTTACAATGAGGTCATCAGGCCCTCATCCAATCTGACTGGTGTTCTTATAAGAAGAGGAGATCAGGAGACAGACATATACAGAAGGAAGATCATGTGAGGACATAGGAGAAGACAGCCGTCTACAAACCAAAGAGAGAGCCTCAGAATTAAACTAACCCTGCTGACACCTTGATCTTGGACTTCCAACGTTGGAAGGAAGGAAGGAAGGAAGGAAAGAAGGAAGGAAGGAAGGACGGACGGACGGACGGACGGAAGGAAGGAAGGAAGGAGAGAGAAAGCAAGCAAGCCTCCCAGTCTGTAGTACTTTGTCAGTCCAGACAGATTAATACAGGTGCTGACTGGGCTGGCTTTTGCTTATTGTTGCATTCCCAGAGCCCAGCACTGAGTAGGTGCTCAATAAATATTGATTGGTGGGTGAATGGAGATCTTGGGGTTTGGCTAAGCAGCACTGAAGATCACGTTGAGTTTCCATCTGCTTCGTCTCTGCATAGGGCTGGTCTCAGAGGCCCAGAGCCGCCTCTTTCTGTTTCTGGGACTGAGATGTGGTTTTGGGTCCTTGTGTATTTTGTGGTCACAACGTAATACACTAGTCTTTGAGGGATGATGTGTTGGAGGCAGAGTGTGGTTTGGGGGAATTGTTTCTTTAAGATAATTTTTTCATTACAATAGTTACACATGCTCACTGAGAAAGCTTGGAAAATAGAGAAACGCAGAGGAAAGGAGAAAACTATCATCCACTATTTTCAATACTTTTAACATAAGTATTTCCTTTCAGGCTTTTTTTCCATAGTTTTTCCTTTACCTTTCAAAGTTATGGTTCTCCACTACACATATATTATTTTTATTATGACTTAAAATTAATTTAGCTCAAGGTGGCCCCAAGGCATATTTTTAAAGGTCACATAATATGTTACTGAGTTAATCTACTACAACTTAATCATTGTCCTATTGGTTGGACATTGATTTTTTTTCTTTTTCCTTTTTTTTTTTTTTACAGTTTTAAACAATGTTCAAGTAAATATCCTTGAATCCTATCTTTTGTAGTGATTACCAAAGATGGCATTTCTGAGCAAAAGGGTAGGACCAATTTTTCATGGCCCTGGATATGATTATCAAATGGCTTTATCAAAAGGATCAAGTGGTTACACCCCCACCGGCCCTGAATGACCGGCAGTGAATGAGATCATAGGAGCCCTGACTTTATGGTGACCTGTCCTTCAGAGCATCAGCTGCTGAGGTTGCCTTCAGAGAGAGGAGGGGGAAGTCAAGGCATCAAACATATGCTAGACTGGCAGGGGCTGTGCACTCTGGGCTAGTGACATTCTTCCACTCTGTTCCAGGCTCCTCCCAGCGATTTTGGAGATGCCCATTTGAAACTGAAAGCCTTTGATGTCCATAGGGTTGAAGGGATGATGCTCTAAACAAGGACTAACCAGTGATCCCAACAGTTCCTCTTAGAAGCTTCAGAGGCCTATCGGGCCTTTCGGGGGTTGCCTCTCAACTCCCCCCACTCTTGGCTTCTCAATTTATTCCTCTGGATCTTTCCAGAAACCGTCTTGGGCAATTCTGAAACAAAGGCCACCTAGTGACCATAAGACAAAAACAGTTTGAAATCATCATTTCCTAGAAAGACTTATGACTTCATACCCTCTGTCACTTTGTTGGAAAGCCTCCATGATTCATAGTTTTCTCTAAATGGCAATGACCAAAATGGCTAGTCTGGGGCACATGACCTTGCCCGCAGAGATTCAGCACCATCCCCCCCACCCTCCCACCCCCCAAATCCAGTGTCTGTCACTTCTTAGAGTAGGAATAAAATGTGGTTTGGGGAGGGTCCAGTGAGGAAACAGGGAGAAAAGGCTGAAGGAGAAGCTCGGTTATTTGTACCTTCATCACGCACCCCCCACCCCGGGCTTGGCCCTGACTGAGAGCCAATGTAGTGTGTGCTCAGGGGATTTCTCAGCTCATCAAGTCCTAGAGCCCCTGCTGTTTACCTTCCTGGGGTACTTGTATGGAGCGGTCACCCTTTTCACATGGTCTTGGAGCTCCTGGGTTAGTTTCTTAGGATCTTGAGAGAAGTAAGCTGGAGAAAGGACAATAAATGCCTCACCACCTGCCAGAGGAAAACAAAAACAAACCCTCCAAAATCAGAAAGAATCAGGCCCTTTATAACAACTTTTTCTTCCTTTTGCCACCTAAGCATGAAAGTCCTACCAGCTCCTCTGGCTCAGCCAGCAAAATGGACAACACCATTTTTTTTCCCCTGTTGCCTCCATTCCAGGACCAACTATTGGAAACACTGGCTTTTGTGGAATGATTCCAGGATTCTACCTATTCCCCAAACTGCTCCCCTCTCCTGATAATAACAACATGAGTAGCCAACGAGCTTCTTTTCTGATGCAAATACTTTGTGGAGAAAGGAGCTTCACACACTCCTCAGGGTCCATTACTTCCAAATCGTTCTCACGGGAAAATTAGCAGAGGCTTGAATAGGCAGGATTGGGAATAATGCACACCACTTCCAAGGGGAGGTGTGTATTTCTGAGCCTGCCTGTACAAGTGTTTGCAAGCAGCAAACATTTTGCGGCACAGTTTCAGTGCCCTCTGTCCTGAGGGGACATTCTGTACCTTGGTTGTTTCTGCCTGAGCCTTGCTTTGCAGGCTGCCTCCCACCAAGGACGAGGGGTACAACAGAACATGGTTTCTGACAGGAGTGGAAGAATTCAAAGGCCAGTAGCCTGCTACCCACCTCAGCATACAGCTCTGTCAACAACATCCTGTTAGGTGGGGGTTCACCATCTTTGCATGCTTCCTAAAGGTGGGCATCTCATTACATTTCACTTTCAGATAGATCTGGTTATTAGGAAAGGCTCTCTCTGATTGTTAAAACTACCAAACATTTATTGAGTATTTTCTATGTGCCAGGCTCTGTTCTGAGTACTATATGTAGATTAACCGCACACAGCCATTTGTCACAACCCCAGCTAATTTGGGGTATACAAAGCTAGGTGTACTTTTCCAGGTGTGATTTCTCCAGAATATACATAGGGCTCCCACCTTCCTTATTCTACATCATTGGCCTCAAAGTTTAATTGGCATCAGAATCACTTGGCTAGGGGCTTCTGGTCAAAATGAAGAAGCCTTGGGCTGCATCCTCACTCACTCTAATTCAGCAAGACTGATTTGAGGTCTAGAAATCTGTATTTTAAATAAGAATCCCAGATGATGCAGCTATGAGTAGTCTAGGGCCCTGACTTAGAGACCCACTCCTCTGGCCCTGGTGCTTCTGAGAACACTGCCTGATGTTGTACTAACTTTCATAAGGTAACTACACTATACTGTAGGATTATGTTGGATTTACAGCCAGTGAAAAGCACACAGGCCTACCTATGAGCTTCATCTCTCCCATTCTATCTATTCCTCTGGGACCCATGGGAAGGAATTTGCATTTCTCCCGAGGAAGGTCAGCTTATTAAATTTGGCCCATCCTTCTGATACATCAGGGTCACTTTGGATACTTACTTTGTAATCCCTTAAGGTGGATATTCCTCCCAGGTTAGAACCATCAGCAGCCATGTCTGGTGTGCTTGCTATAGCCTCATCTGCAAATGGGAAAGGACTCTTTATTGGCCAGGATGGATGACAGAGCCTGCACCCACTGCCAAGATCTCTTTCCAACAGTCCACCTCTTTTGGACCCAGTTCTGGGTCCATTCGACCCAAAAGTATGTCTCTAAAGACAGGAGGGTAATGCTTAACCAAAAGGAATGGGTGCCCGATGGTGGCATTTCAGACTTTGTAGTACCTCGGTGGAGCTTACTCTGCTGGGTGCAAACAGGTATAGAACCAGGAGGCAATGTTCTTGGCTGGACTAGTTACCTCCCCTCTGACGGGGTCTGGGCTGCTGACCACAGCAGCCTCCAGAACAACAGGTGCTCAGCAAGGGCATTTTCCACTTCAACGGGCCCAATCCGGTAGCTGGAAGAGAAAAACAAACTCTTCCAAGTGACTGCTTCCCACCTCCCCCGCGACAAAGCTTCAAAAGCAGAAGGACAGAGCAGTCAGCTTGACCTTGAGGAATTGATCACATCATCATTTATTCCTGTGAACCAAAAGTAGCCATCCTTGTCCTTGTGGGCTCGGTCCCCTGTGATGTGAAAGTCCCCTCGTTCTGAAGCCTCTGTCTTCTGAGGATTGTTCTGGAAGACAAAGTAAGTATGTGAGGGGCCATCTTGGCACAGCCACTCAAGCCAGCCACAGCCCTCGAAGGCCCGTGCAGGAGGCTGGGGACCCCTAAAAGCAGTTCCAAGAGACCATGCTGGCCACAATTTCCCACTGGACGAGGAGCTGTGAATTTGTGCATTTTTTCCCTCTTTTAAATGGAAGGAGATGCCAGGAAATGATTAAGGACAGCCACTTGCTACCATCCCTTGGAAGGGTCCGAGGAAGCATAGTTGAATGCAGGAGGGTGGACACAGGGCCATTGGCTCTGTTTTTTAGGATAAAAGAACACACTGATACTCTTTGTGCTCAGGAATCACTGAAGGTAGAAAGTGAGCAGATGTCCAAAAGACAAGAGGAGAGGAAGGAGGAAAAACTAATCAAACTCTGAGTCTCAAAGCTTTCAAGAAGCTACTACTCAACAAGAAAAAACCAAATTACTGCTGTGTGCAACTATCCAGGTATGTCTCAAAACACACAGTTATGCTGAATAAATGAAACCAGACAGGGAGTTAAGACGGCAGAGGATCAGGGGCACCCTAAGCTTGTCTCGTCCCTCGAATACAGCTAGATAGCTATAAATCATTTGGAACACCTAAGAAATCAATCAGAGGTCTGAGAGAACAAAAACTGCAAGTCCACAAGTAGAAAAGGGGCCACCTTTTGGTAGGTAGGAGGTGCAGAGGTTGAATTTGGGGAGGCATAGCTGTGGAGGGAGCAGCAGGGAGGGAGCCCACGGTGCAGGCTACCACAAAGTATTATAAGCAGCGGAGCACAAAATCAGAACTTTTAGAAGTCTGCTACCATGGGTACATGCCTGGCTTAAGGGTGCTCAGGTGGCGAAGCAGGGCAGAACTCACATGTGACACTGTGGTCTCAGGATCCTCTGGGTCGCAAGAAGAACAGATGGCACCTAAGTGCTGCACTGTTCCCAGGCACAGGAGTGTGGAAGCCGGCTGAGAACAGCCAGTCTAGGTGCTGGCTTTCTGCTCTGTTTTGCCATAAACTGCGAATCACTCCGAGGTCCTGTGACCTCTTTCCTGGGACAGGCCTGGCAAACAGCAGAAGCGTGGGAGAGGACCAGTACAGTCCGACCTGCAGGAGTCCCTAAAATTTGGAGTTTTGAAATTCAGTTGCATGCCTGAGATAAAAAGCTCAGACACAGGCAGGGTGAATGCAGGGTTCTGATGGAAACCGGGGACACAAGAGTGATTGACTGCTCTTCTGTGAGGGCTCACTGAAGAGTTGGGGGCATTAACTTTCAACTGTGGGACTGGAAGGGGGAGGGGGGCTGCCATAGTTAACCTGCCCATCATCACTGAAAGCCTTCAAGGAGCAAAACAGCACCACCTAGTGGAGTCCAGGGCTGCTTACATCAAGCCCTGCCTCCCTGCAAACTGGAGACCCATTTCCACTAAGTAAGTCCACCTGAGAATCCTGCAACAGGCCCCTCCCCCAGAAGACCAGCACAAACAACTCGTTCACACAAAGTCTTCTGATCAGAGAGGGCTGCAAAGCTTCAGCTCTAGGGGAAAATAGTATCTAGCCTCCTTTATACTTTTATTCTTTATTTTTTTTCATTTATTTTCTTATTTTTTCAATTCTTTTAAAAAATTTTTTAATTTAAAAAATTTTTGTTTTTATATATACCATCTATATATACTATTTTTTTGTTTACTTTCATTATATTTTATTTTTTTCCTTTCTTATTTTGGGATCTAGATTCTTTTGACAAGCAGACCAAGACACACCCAGGATCTAGTTTTTTTGTTTTGTTGTTGTTGTTTTCTTTTTTCTTTTTCTTTCTTCTTTTCTTTTCTGGACAAAATGATGATATGGAGAAATTCACCCCAAAAGAAAGAAGAGGAAATAGAACTCATGGCCAGGGATTTAATCAATATGATATAAGTAAGATGTCTGAACTAGAATTTAAAACAACAATTAATAGGATACTAGCTGAGCTTGAAAAAGCATACAAGACAGTAGAGAATCCCTTAATGCAGAGATAAAAGAACTAAAATCTAGTTAGACCAAAATTTAAAATGTTATAACTGAGATGCAATTCCAAATGGAGGGCATAAAAACCAAGATGGATGAAACAGAAGAGTGAATCAGTGAATCAGAAGATAAAATTATGGAAAATAATGAAGTTGAAAAGAAGAGGGAAAGAAAGGTGATGGACCATGAAGGTAGATTTAGGGAACTCAGCAACTTATTAAAACATAGTAATATTCAAGGAAACAATGGCTTGGAATGACACACTGCACCAGATGGACTTAACAGATATATTCAGAACATTTCATCCTAAAGCAGCAGAATACACGTTCTTTTCGAGTGCACATGGGACATTCTCCAGAATAGATCACATACTAGTCACAAATCAGCTCTCAACAAGTACAAAAAGATTGAGATCATACCATACCTATTTTCTGATCACAACGCTAAGAAACTAAGAAGTCAACCACAAGAAAAAATTTGCAAAGACCACAAATACATGGAGGTTAAAGAACACCCTACTAAAGAATGAATGGGTTAACCAGGAAATTAAGGAAGAAATTAAAAAATACATGGAAAAGAATGTAAATGAAAACACAATAGTCCAAAACCTTTGAGATGCAGCAAAGGCAGTCCTTGAGGGAACTATACTGCAATACAGGCCCACCTCAAGAAGCAAAAAAAGCCTCAAATACACAACCTAATCTTACACCTAAAGAAGCTAGAAAAAGAATAGCAAATAAAGCCTAATGCCAGCAGAAGAAGGGAAATAATAAAGATTAGAGCAGAAATAAATGATATAGAAACAAACAAAAAACTCCCGTAGAATGGATCAACAAAACTAAGAGCTGGTTCTTTGAATGAATTAATAAAATTGATAAACCCCAGCCAGACTTATCAAAAAGAAAAGAGAAAGGACCCAAATAGAGAAAAATCACAAATAGAAGAGATCATAACCAACACCACAGAAATACAAACAATTATAAGAGAATACTATGAAAAATTATATGTCAACAAACTGGGCAACCTGGAAGAAATGGACAAATTCTTAGAAACCTACAAACTACCAAAACTGAAACAGGAAGAAACAAAATTTGAATGGACCCATAACCAGCAAATAAATTGAATCAGTAATCAAAAATCTCCCAACAAACAAAAGTCCAGGGCCAGATAGTTTCCCAGGGGAATTCTACCAGACATTTGAAGAAGAGTTAATAACTATTCTCCTCAAACTGTTAAAAAAAAAAAAAAAAAAGAAATGGAAGGAAAATTTCTGAACTCATTCTACAAAGCTAGCATTACCTTAACTCCAAAACCAGACAAAGACCCCACGAAAAAGGAGAATTATAGGCCAATATCCCTGATGAACATGGACGCAAAAAGTCTCAATAAAATACTAGCAAATCAAATTCAACAGTACATTAAAATAATTATTCACCACGATCAAGTGGGATTTATTGCTGGGCTGCAGGGATGGTTCAATATTTGCAAATCAATCAACATGATACACCACATTAATAAAAGAAAGAATAAGAACCATATGATCCTCAGTAGATGCAGAAAAAGCATTTGATCAAATACAGAATCCTTTCCTGATAAAAACACTTAACAAAGTAGGGATAGATGGAACATATCTCAACATCATAAAGGCCATATACAGAAAATCCACAGCAAATATCCTCAATGGGGAAAAACTGACAACCTTTCCCACACGGTCAGGAATAAGACAAGGATGTCCACTCTCACCATTACTATTTAACATAGTACTGGACATCTTATCTTAGCCTCAGCAATCAGACAACAAACAGAAATAAAAGGTATCAAAATTGGCAAGGAAGAAGTCAAACTTTCCCTTGCAGATGACATAATACTCTATGTAGAAAACCTGAACGACTCCACCAAAAAATTGCTAGAACTCATACATGAATTCAGCAAAGTTGCAAGATATAAAATCATTGTTCAGAAACCTGTTGCATTTCTATATACCAATAACGAAGCAGCAGGAAAATAAATCAAAGAATCGATCCCATTTGCAATTGTACCAAAAATAATAAGATACCTAGGAATAAACCTAACTAAAGACGAAAAAGATCTGTACTCTGAAAACTATAGAACACTTATGAAAGAAACTGAAGAGGACACAAAGAAATGGAAAAACATTCCATGCTCATGAATTAGAAGAACATTGTTAAAATGTCTATACTACCCAAAACAAACTATACAGTTAATGTAACCCTATCAAAATACCACCAGCATTTTTCACAGACCTAGAACAAACAATACTAAAATGTGTATGGAACCACAAACACCCTAAATAGCCAAAGCAATCCTGAAAAAGAAAAACAAAATGAGGCATCACGATTCCATATTTCAAGCTATGTTAAAAAGCTGTAGTCATCAAGACAGTATGATACTGGCACAAAAACAGACAAATAAATCAATGGAACAGAATAGAGAACCCAGAAATGGACCCAAAACTATAGGTAGGGTCAACTCATCTTCAATAAAACAGGAAAGAATTTCCAATGGAAAAAAGACAGTCTCTTCAACAAATGGTGTTGGGAAAACTGTACAGCAATATGCGAAGAGTGAAATTTTCTTACACCATACACAAAAATAAATTCAAAATGGATGAAAGACCTCAATGTGAGATAGGAAACCATCAAAATCCTAGAGGAGAACACAGACAGAAACCTCTTTGACTCGGCCGTAACAGTTTCTTACTAGACAATGCCAGAAAGGAAAACAAAAGCAAAAATGAACGACTGGGACTTCATCAAGATAAAAAGCTTCTGCACAACGAAGGAAACTATCAACAAAACTAAAAGGCAGCTTACGGAATGGGAGAAGATATTGGCAAATGGCATATGTGATGAAGGGTTAGTATCCAAGATCTATAAAGAACTTCTCAAACTCAACACCCAAAAAACAAACAATCCAGTTAAGAAATGGGCAGAAGACATGAATAGACACTTTTCCAAAGAAGACATCCAGATGGCTAACAGACACATGTAAAGATGCTCAACATCACTGGTCAGGGAAATACAAATCAAAACCACAATGAGATACCACACATCTGTCAGAATGGCTAAAATTAACAACACAGGACACATCAGGTGTTGGCGAGGGTGTGGAGAAAGGGGAACCCTCTTACACTGTTGGTGGGAATGCAAACGCGTATGGCCACTCTGGAGAACAGTATAGAGGTGCCTCAAAAAGTTAAAACAGAACTACCCTATGATCCAGCAATTGTGCTACTAGGTATTTACCCAAAGGACACAAAAATACAAATTTAAAGGGTTACATGCATCCCAGTGTTTATAGTAGCATTATCAACAATAGCCAAACTATGGAAAGAGCCCAAGTGTTCACTGACTGATGAATGGATAAAGAAGATGTGGTGTGTATGTATGTGTGTGTGTGTGTGTATGTATCTATCACATCTATGTATCTACGTATACATGTATATTTGGTATGTATATATGGTATGTATATATAATGGTATATTACTCAGCCATCAAAAAATGAAATCTTGCCATGTGCAATGACATGGATGGAGCTAAAGTGTATTATGCTAAGCGAAATAAGTCAGAGAAAGACAAATACCATAGATCTCACTCATATGCGGAATTTAAGACAGAAAACAGATGAACATAAGGGAAGGGGGGGAAGAAAAAAAGGAGAGAGGGAAATGAATCATTAAGTGACTCTAAATGATAGGGAATAAACTGAGGGTTGATGGAGGGAGGTGGATCGGGGATGGGCTAGATGGGCGATGGGTACTGAGGAGGGCACGTGTGATGAGCACTGGGTGTTGTATGTAAGTGATGAATCACTGAATTCTGCTCCAGAAACCAATATTGCACTGTATGTTAACTAAGTAAAATTTAAGTTAAAAAATAAAATAAGAAATGAATTTAAAAAAAAAAAAAGAAACCAGGGGGCGCCTGGGTGGCTCAGTCGGTTAAGCATCTGCCTTCGGCTTAGGTCAGGATCCAGGGTCATGGGATCAAGCCCCACGTCAGGTCTTCTGCTCAGCGGGGAGCCTGTTTCTCCCTCTCCCTCTGCCTGCCGCTCCCCCTGCTTGTGTTTTCTCTCTCTCTCTCTCTCTCAAATAAATGAATCTTTAAAAAAAAGAAAAAGAAAAAAGAAACCAGGCGTGCCTGGGTGGCTTAGTTGGTTAAGCGTCTGCCTTTGGCTCAAGTCATGATCCCAGGGTCCTGGAATCGAGCCCCATGCCGGCTCCCTGCTCAGTAGGGAGCCTGCTTCTCCCCCTCCCTCTGCCTCTCCCCCTGCTTCTATGCTTTCTCTCTCTGTTAAATAAATAAATATCTTAAAAAAAAAAAAAAAGAAACCAGACACACAAATATGAATGCTTTATGATTCCATTTACATAAAGTTCTTTAAAAAAAAAAAAGGCAAAAGTATTCTATTAGCAACACCAAATAATTTAGCAATTGCCAATGGCTTGGGGAATGACTGCTGGGGGGCACAAGGGAACTCTTTTGGGTGATAAGGATGTTCTATATCTTGATTGTGGTGATGGTCACACAAGTGTATACATGGGTCAAAAGTCATTGACCTATATACATGTAATGTAGGTACACTTACTGTATGTAAATTATGCCTCAATTTTAAAACTGCATTCAGAGAAAAAAAGCAAAAAACTAAGCTGTCAAAACCTTAAAATAGGGCGCCTGGGTGGCTCAGTTGTTAAGTGTCTGCCTTCAGCTCAGGTCATGATCCCAGGGTCCTGGGATCAAGTCCCTCATCGGGCTCCCTGCTCGGCCGGAAGCCTGCTTCTCCCTCTCCCACTCCCCCTGCTTGTGTTCCTGCTCTCGCTCTCTCACTCTCTCTGTCAAATAAATAAATAAAATCTTAAAAAAAAAAAAAGAGAGTTACACTTAAAAAAAAAACAAACCTTAAAATAAATCTCACACAAAATCTGAAAGAAGTATAAAAAGAAAACTTAAAACTCTACAAAACAGGGCGCCTGGGTGGCTCAGTCAGTTAAGCATCTGCCTTCGGCTCAGGTCATGATCCCAGGGTCCTGGGATCGAGCCCCACATCAGGCTCCCTGCTCAGCGGGGAGCCTGTTTCTCCCTCTCCCTCTGCCTGCCGCTCTGCCTACTTGTGCTCTCTCTCTCTCTCTGTCAAATAAATAAATAAGTAAAATCTTAAAAAAAAAAAAACTACAAAACAGTAAAGAAGATATAAATGGAAGGATAGAAAGACTTAATATCATAAATATGTTAATTCTCCCAAATTGATCTATAGACTTAGGAACACTCATTAACCAATTTCCATGGAATTTGACAATTTGATTCTAAAATGTACATGAGACAGTAGAGAGCCGAGAGTAGGTAAAATATTTCTAAAGAAGTTAAGGAAGAAGGAGAGGCTTGCTTTAGTAGAGTTATGAGAATGTTTTCCTGGATGAGGCTCTATGGTATCAGTCCAGGGATAAAACAAACGACCAACTAAACAGAAGAAACTGCCAAAACTTAGCTATGTATGAATATATCAAACTTTTATTTCTGACCAGGTTGACATGACAGATCACTTTTTTCTGAGATTTTTTTTTATCTTTTTATTTTTATTAGTTTTTAGCTTTTATTTAAATTCCAATTAACATAGAGTATAATATTAGTTTCAGGAATAGAATTTAGTGATTCATCACTTATCTACAACACCCAGTGCTTACCACAAGTGCCCTCCTTAATACCCATCTCCATTCCCCATCCACTTCCCCTCCATCAACCCTGTTTGTTCTCTATAGTTATGAGTCTGTTTTATGGTTTCCCTCTTTTTTCCCCCCTATGTTCGTCTGTTTTGTTTCTTAAATTCCACATAGGAGTGAAATCATATGGTATTTGTTGTTCTCTGACTGACTTACTTTGCTTAGCATAATACTGAGATTTAATGTTTTTTTTTTTTTCCCTTGGTTAAAAATGACCCAAGAAGAAAACCAACAGCTGGTGCTGAAAAGAAAAAGTTGAAAAAAGTAAAGATTCCTGTCCAGCAAATAACTCTACAAATCACTTGACTCTCTCAATGGAACGATCACAGACCCACAAGGGTCCTGTATGTGAGCCCTGTGAGGACCAGGTCTTGTCTTTCTGTCATTGCTATAGACTTAATGGCATGAAGTAGCCACTCAATAAATAATGAATGAATTATTCAGAAAAGTCAAGGATTTGCTATTGCTTACAAAAATGATTAGACGGCACAAACAATGAATCACGGAATACTACATCAAAAACTAATGGTGTAACGTATGGTGATTAACATAACAATAAAAAATTTAAAAAAATGATTAGATGGAAATACACTAAAATTTTAAAATTATCTCTGCTTGGTGTATTACTGTGTTGTTGTTTGGGGTTTTTTTTTTGGGGGGGGGAGTTGTTTGTTTCTTTATTCTGGTAGGTAAGTTTCTGTGACTTTAAATGAAATACCATGAAAGACTATCTCTCTTGTAATCACAAAAAAGCCACTAAAATACATACTCACCATTTTAAAAACAAATGGACTTATCTTTATCTCTTCCTTCTAGTGTTGTAGCTGACGGATGGCATCATATACATGCCAGATGGAATTCCTTACAAAGCCATGGTTCTCAACCTTGGCTGCACTTTCGAATCACCAGGGGAACTGATCCACATCATCAGAAAGTTTAATCTCATCAAGTGGGGCTTGAGTACCAGTCATGTTTTGAAGTTTCCAAGGTTTTCTAATGTGCCACCAAGTTGAAAACCATGTCAGTAGAGCTTTATAGAGAAGGGTCTAACAAAAAGAAAGCGCATCATAAACACCCACCAAAGCAGGCACAAGGGAGAGGTCATTCCTGGATTATCACAGAAACTTAGACTAGAATCCTAGGACACAGCCCTGCCAACAGACCCCCTCTGAGCCACACAAGACTTAAGACAAAAAGAATCCTGAAATTAGGCTCTGACACAAATTGCAGTTTGACTTTTGTGAAGTCCCTTCTCTTCTCTGAGCTGCAATTTCTCATCATTAGGGGCACCTGGGTAGCTGAGGTGGTTAAATGGCTGCCTTCAGCTCAAGTCATGATCTCGGGATCCTGAGATCCAGCTCCACATCGGGCTCCTTGCTCGGTGGGGAGTCTGCTTCTCCCTCTGCCTGCCCCTAACCCCTGCTTGTGCTCTCTTGTGCTCACTCTCCCTCTCTCAAATAAATAAAAGCTTTAAAAAAAAATTCTCATCATTAAAATGATGGGGTGTCCCGTGTTATAAATTTGCTCTCTCAGACATACCCATGCTTAAATTCACGTCCTGGACATACTAGTTGCCTGACATTGGGTAAGTCAATCTTTCTCATTTCCTTATCAATAATAGCACCTTATCAATAATAGTGCCAACCTACCTCATGCAGTTATTACAAGGGTTAAACAAGTAAGTATTTATAAATATTAGAACACAACACTCGACACACAGAAATCACTGTGAAAATGGCCATTCCCTGCCACTTACCAAATAGCAACTGAAGAAACAGAAGGGCCAGGTGGGCCTGACTCGGACAGCAATATTCCCCTCCTCTCCTGGAGATAGGATGTTGCCCTCATCATCCATGATCTGGCAGAGAGATCACAGGGCCGTGTCTGGATATCTGCACAGCCAGACCACCCCACCAGCTGAGCTTGCTGATGCTAACCAGCACATGCATTTTGCTCTCCTCTTTGAGCCAAGCCTCAACAACAGTTGGGGGAGGCTGCCTACCTGCACATCATAAGGTGGAGATGCTTTCCCCATGGATCCAGACTTGATTTTCATGCCTTTTGAATTGGCACAGATTAAAACCTGGAGAGAAAGCAGGTCCAGAAAGGTGGAGACGTATCCCTGTAGCTTCTTCCCCTTCCTGGTGTCTACCTTTTCTCTCACTCTGCCTTCTACCGCTACTTCTCCCTCCCCTCTCCGACCTGCTCTTCATTTCTCTCCCTTCCTTCTGCCTCCCTTCCTTCCTTCTCTTCTTCCCATAGTCAACAAACATTTATTGAATGCCCTACTGGACACTGACACATAAAGAACCAAATGTGTCGCTAAGCCAAAAGACTCAGTTGACCCCCAACTCTCTGCTGCCCGGATGGCTGTGGGGAATACTGGGTAAGATCCTGGGCTCTGACCAGAGACAGATGGAGGCTGTCCTGGTGGAGACAAATGGTACCTGCAGTCGTGAGAGTAGGTTTGCTGGCTATGGTGTCATTGTGAAATCACTTTATCTTTTAAACCAAAAGGGAAGAGAAGCTGATGGGATTTTGTTATCAGCTTCTCCCAGGGGGCAGGGCAGTCCCTGATGGGTGTCACAGCCAGGAAGGCAGGAGGCTCTTCAGGCTGGTCATCTCCACCAAGTGGCTGAGGGTGCAGGTGGAGATGACCTGCGGCAGGGACCCGGGCCCCAGTAGCACTCACTGTTTTAGACTGGCCATAGCCTTCATGCAGCTCCAGGCCCACCTGGCTCTTCCACTTCTCTCTCACGTCAGGATTCAGTGCCTCTCCTCCAGTCAAACAGTGCCTCAGGCTCTGAAACTGGTACCTTTCTCAGTTGGAAAACAAGACCACCCGTGTCAGGATCCCTCCAGCCCCCACGGGACCCAACAATGCTGCTCAGGTCTACACATCTAAAGCCACTGGAGGGTAAAGTCCAGGCTTTATCATCTGTTCCAAGTGCCCCATCCTCTGGCTTTGCAGGCATATTCCTCATGGGCGGATAATTTTTTTAAAAAATCAATCCTATCTGATTTTGGAATAAAATCGGAACCTCATATAAGTAGGTTTTGGCATAACAGCAAACTCCAGGTGAACTGGCCAAAATAACTTAGTTGAAAACAAACTGATAATAAATTGGTTAGGACAACCACCTGGTTAAAAAAGATAAACCAATTACATGGGGCACCTGGGTGACTCAGTCAGTTAAGCGTCTGTCTTCGGCTCGGATCATGATCTCAAGGTCCTGGGATCGAGCCCCGCATTGCACCTGGCTCCCCGCTCAGCGGGGCAACGTGCTTATCCCTCTCTGCCCCTCCCCTTCGGCTTGTGTTCTCTCTCTCTCAAATAAATAAATAAAATCGTTTTAAGAAGAAAAGATAAGCTGATTACAAATTTAAAAGGTAGGAAGTAGCCCCCTAGGAATCTGACAATTCTGACAAATGGGCCCAAAATTCCAACATATGTTGTAAAACTACCCCTCCATTCAACAAATTATCCAAAATGTAAAAAATTGGTGGTTGCAAATACATTTCAACCATTTTTTTTCCTTTGGATAAACTTGGTTTGACTATTAATTAGTATTACCTAGTACCTTTCAACCAAACTGTTCTTCAACAAGTTATTCAGAGTCTGCTTGCAGTTAAAACCTTGATCTTAAGGTATACATGACAGATGAATGAATGGGATAAATTCTTACATTAGAGAAGAATTCACCAGGGGAATCATGTAAGAACTCCCCCTTAGGTGCTTCATGGACAGATACATGGGATGAGGGGAGACAATAGAAGAGGCAAACATAGATCAGAGTCAGTAAGCTACTTAAGGTCATAGGTCTCTGTCCATACACCTCAGCAACTAGACTTGTCCTGCTAGCAGATGTTCCTTTGGATTCACCCAGGATGGGAGCCACACGTACACAGAGTCTGTTGCCTTCAGTGGGATATCCAATGGCATTCACTCGGAGAGTGGCCGAATGGAGTTAGTCTGGGCCTGAGGGATGGAACATCTACTACGGTGGGCTTGCTGGTCCCCCAAACCTAAGGCCCTGGCCACAAATCCCACTCCACGGGTGGCTAACAATTATCCAACAATTTCTCCAACCTCACAGAAGTAGAAGACACACTGCTGAGAGATGCCCTTGTGGAGAGACAGCCCACCTCAAGTGCTAAAATTTCAGACTCTCTTAAATCTATCCAATTCCATCTGGATGCAAATTCCTGGGCAGGAGGTGGTGGTGCAGAAGTTCATTTTTGGAGGGCATCTGCAAAGGATATAGATGTGTATGCTTGAGCATGTGTGTGTGTGAGATAGAGGAACACAGATATATATAATATTCTAGATATATATTCTGTATAGAAAGAATCACAGATGTATGTGTGTATATATGTGTGTGTATATATAGAGAGAGAGAGAGAGAGAGAGAGATGAGACAGAGACAGAGTTGGCCGAGAGGATGGGTGTGCATGTGTACATAAACTGCTGTATATCCACATACTTAGGTCCCCAAAGCGCCAAACAGATGGGCTGGCTGTACCTGGTGAGATCCTCCTGTACCAGCAGCCGGAAGATGGTGGGGACACAGCAGAGGGTGGTGATCGGGAATCTGGAGAGAGTCTAAACAAAAACAACGGGTAGAAGATCTTCTTAGAGGTCTGGGGTGGGACTTCGTGGAGATGGAGCAGGTGAACTGGATCTTCATACTCTCACTACCAGAGGAGAGAAGGTGAAAACTGTGTGTGCCTTCCAGTCCAAGATGGCCCTGAGTGATGTCACTTCCTAATATTTTTACTCTTGTGGGGCCCCTTCCCACATTGAACCAAGTTGGTCTGTGTGACCAATAGCATACCACAGAAGTGACAGATGCCACTTTTGAGATTATACAAAGACTACCTATCTTGAGTTACTTGCTCTGGGGAAAACAGGCCACCATGTTGTCAGTATACTTGAGTGTATACAGTAAGAAACTGAAACTTTTGGCCAATAGCCAATGAGAAACTTAAGACATCTAAAAACCACATGAGTGGGTTTTTAAATAGATTCTCTATTCCCAGTCAAACCTTAAGATAATTGCAGTCCTGGCAGACATCTTTCTTTTATATTATGGTAAAATACACACCACATAAAATTTACCATTTTAACCATTACATAAAATGTACACTCTAATGGCAATAAATACATTTACATTGTTGTGCAACCATCACCACTATCCATCTCCAGAACTTCAAAAAATCTTCCCAAATGGAAACTCCGTACCCATTACATGATACCTCCCCGTTTCTTCTTTCCCCCAGTTCCTGAGCATTCTACTTTCTGTCTCTATGACTTTAACTACTCTAGATACATGATATAAGTGAACCATACTGTATCCATCCTTTTGTGCCTGGCTTATTAGCTCACTCAACATAATGTCGTCAAGATTCATCCATGATATAGCACGTGTCATTCCTTCTTTTTAAAGGCTGAGTAATGAGGAGGGAAAAGATGACGGAGTAGGGGACCCTATTCCAACTGGTCCCCGGAATTGAGCTGGATATCTACCAAATCACTCTGAACACCCACGAAATCAGCTTGAGATGTAAAAAGATAGATCTGGATCTCTACAAACAGAATATTGCAGGCATTTGGTTTCGAGGTACGAAGCAGGGAACCGTGATTCTGCGGGCACATATGGCAGGATAAAAGGAAGAGGGAGGGAGCCGAGCCATCAGGATCCTACACCACCAGTGAGCCATAGCTTCCCGCGCTGGGGACTGGGCACAGACTTGCAGACTGGTAGCGGTGGGGCAAGGACTTTAGGGCAGCCCCCCCGGATGGAAACCTGGAGCGGCAGGGCCAGGCACATGAACTGGGGGTGGCTGGCGGTTTTAGAAGCACAAAGGCCAGAGATGTGCCCGGACCTGGAGGCGAGGACTGGGAGCACTACAGAGGGCGCATAACCCAGGACTGCATTTTATAGCAGCACAGACAGAAACGGAGATAGTGTGGCCTGGAGAGCTCACTGAAAAACAGGCTGTGATCTCTCCGCTCTGAGGCAGAGGGTTGGAAATGGTCTCTTCTGCTCTGACTCTAGGAAGAGATGCAGAAAGTAGCCAGGGAAAGCCACCAGGGAACAAAAGCCCCAAAAAACCAGTTTCCACTGAGCCCATCCCCCGTCACAGGGGTCACGGCAAATCTGCCCAAACAGGGTTGCCTGAGTAACAGTGCAGCAGGCCCCTCCCCCAGAAGACAGGCTGGGAAAACAAGAGGCCAGCAACCCTAAGGTCCCAAGAAAACAGGTGCATCTTCCTTGGGTTGTGGTCAATAATTGGGACTCTGTACATTCCCTCAACCACCACTCAACAGAATGACTAGGAGGAGGAACCCCCAAAATAGGAAAGATTCAGAGACTATGACTTATGCAGCAGATTTACAAATGGATTCAGATATAACCAAGATGTTGGAGCTGGAATTCAGGGTAGCAACTGTGAAGACGATAGCTAGAATGGAGAAATCAATTAATGGCAACATAGAGTCTCTAAGGGCAGAAATGAAAGCTGAACTGGCAGAACTTAAAAATGCTATCAATGAGATCCAATCCAATCTAGATAATCGAACAGCTAGGCTAAGTGAGGCAGAAGAACGAATAAGCGACCTGGAAGACAATATAATAGATAAAAAGGGAAAAGAGGAGACCAGGGAAAAACAACTCAGAATCCATGAAAATAGAATCAGAGAAATAAGTGACACCATGAAATGTTCCAATGTCAGAATTATTGGGATCCCTGAAGGGGGTGGAGAGAGAGGACTAGAGGATATATTTGAGCAAATCATAGCTGAGAACTTCCTTAATCTGGGGAATGATACAAACATTCGTGTCCTAGAGGCAGAGAGGACCCATCCCAAGATCAAGGAAAAGAGGCCAACACCCTGGCATGTGATAGGAAATCTCGCAAATCTTTAGAACCAAGGAAACCATCTTAAGGGCAGTTAGGGGGAAGAAATTCCTTACGTACAGAGGGAGGAACATCAGAATAACGTCAGACCTATCCACAGAGACATGGCAAGCCAGAAAGGCCTGGCAGGACATATTCAGGGTACTAAATGAGAAGAACATGCAGCCAAGAATACTTTATCCAGCAAGGCTGTCATTTAGAATGGATGAAGAAATGCAGAGCTTCCAAGACCGGCAGAAACTGAAAGAATATGTGACCACTAAACCGGCCCTGCAAGAAATATTAAGGGGGGTTCTATAAAAGGAGAATGACCCCAAGAGTCATATACAACAGAAATTTACAGGGTCAATCTATAAAAACAACGTCTTCACAGGCAACATGATGACAATTAATTCTTATCTTTCAATAATCACTCTCAACGTGAGTGGCCTAAACGCTCCCATAAAACGGCACCAGGTTGCAGATTGGATAAAAAGACAGGACCCATCCATATGCTGCCTACAAGAGACTCATTTTGAACCTAAAGATACATCCAGACTGAAAGTGAAGGGATGGAGATCCATCTTCCATGCCAACGGACCTCAAAAGAAAACTGGGATAGCAATTCTTATATCAGACAAATTAGATTTTAAACCAAAGACTGTAGTTAGAGACACAGAAGGACACTATATCATTCTTAAAGGGTCTATCCAACAAGAAGATCTAACAATTGTAAATATCTATGCCCCCAACATGGGAGCAGCCATCTACATAAGCCAACTGTTAACCAAAATAAAGAGTCATATTGATAACAATATGTTAATTGTAGGAGACCTCAATACTCCACTCTCAGCAATGGACAGATCATCTAAGCAGAAAATCAACAAAGAAAAAGAGCTTTGAATGACACACTGGACCAGATGGACGTCATAGTTATATATAGAACATTGCACCCTAAAAGTACAGAATACTCATTCTTCTCGAGCACACATGGAACTTTCTCCAGAACAGACCACATACTAGGTCACAAATCAGGTCTCAACCGATACCAAAAGACTGAGATTATTCCCTGCATACTCTGACGGTAATGCTTTAAAACTGGAACTCAATCACAAGAAAAAATTTGGAAGAAATTCAAACACTTGGAAGCTAAAGACCACTCTGCTCAAGAATGTTTGGGTCAACCAGGAAATCAAAGAAGAACTTCAAAAATTCATGGAAACCAATGAGAACAAAAACACATCGGTCCAAAACCTACGGGATACTGAAAAGGCGGTCCTAAGGGGGAAATTCATACCTATCCAAGCCTCACTCAAAAAAATAGAAAAATCCCGAATTCACCAACTAACTCTACACTTTAAAGAACTAGAGAAAAAGCAACAAACGATGCCTAAACCACGCATTAGAAGAGAAATAATTAAGATTAGAGCAGAGATCAATGAATTAGAAACCAGAAACACAGTAGAGCAGATCAACGAAACTAGAAGCTGGTTCTTTGAAAGAATTAATAAGACCGATAAACCACTGGCCAGACTTATCCAAAAGAAAAGAGAAAGGCCCCAAATCAATAAAATCATGAATGAAAGGGGAGAGATCATGACTAACACCAAGGAAATAGAAACAATTATTAGAAATTATTAGCAACAACTATATGCCAAAAAATTGAGCAACCTAGATGAAATGGATGCCTTCCTGGAAACCTATAATAAACTCCCAAGACTGAAACAGGAAGAAATTGACAAACTGAATAGGCCAATAACCAATAACGAAATTGAAGCAGTGATCAAAAACCTCCCAAAAAACAAGAGTCCAGGGCCTGATGGATTCCCTGGGGAATTCTACCAAACATTCAAAAAAGAAATAATACCTATTCCCCTGAAGCTGTTTCAAAAAATAGAAACAGAAAGAAAGCTTCCAGACTCATTCTATGAGGCCACCATTACCTTAATCCCCAAACCAGGCAAAGACCCCATCAAAAAGGAGAATTTCAGACCAATATCCCTGATGAATATGGATTCCAAAATCCTCAACAAAATCCTAGCTAATAGGATCCAACAATACATTAAAAGCATCATCCACCACGACGAAGTGGGATTTACCCCTGGGATGCAAGGGTGGTTCAATACTCACAAATCAATCAATGTGATAGAACACATTAATAAGAGGAGAGAGAAGAACCATATCATCCTCTTAATTGATGCAGAAAAAGCATTTGACAAAATACAGCATCCTTTCCTGATTAAAACTCTTCAGAGTATAGGGATAGAGGGAACATTCCTCAAGTTCATAAAATCCATCTATGAAAAACCCACAGCGGGTATCATTCTCAATGGGGAAAAGCTGAGAGCCCTTCCCTTAAGATCAGGAACACAAGGATGCCGACTCTCGCCACTATTGTTCAACATAGTACTAGAAGTCCTAGCAACAGCAATCAGACAACAAAAAGAAATAAAAGGAATTCAAACTGGCAAAGAAGAAGTCAAACTCTCTATCTTCACAGATGACATGATAACCTATGTGGAAAATCCAAAAGACTCCACCCCCAAATTACTAGAACTCATCCAGCAATTCAGTAATGTGGCAGGATACAAAATCAATGCACAGAAATCAGTTGCTTTCTTATACACTAACAAAGCAACTGTAGAAAGAGAAATTAGAGAAACAATTCCATTTACAATAGCACCAAAAATCGTAAGATACCTCAGAGCAAACCTAACAAAAGAGGTAAAGGATCTATACTCTAGGAACTACAGAACATTCATGAAAGAAATTGAAGAAGACATAAAAAGATGGAAAAATATTCCATGCTCATGGATCGGAAGAATAAACATTGTTAAAATGTCTATGCTACCCAGAGCAATCTATACCTTCAATGCCATCCCAATCAAAATTCCAATGACATTTTTCAAAGTGCTGGAACAAACAATCCTAAAATCTGTACGGAATCAGAAAAGACCCCGAATCGCCAAGGAAATGTTGAAAAAGAAAACAAAGCTGGGGTCATCACGTTGCCTGATTACAAGCTATATTACAAAGCAGTGATCACTAAGACAGCATGGTGCTCGCACAAAAACAGACATATAGACCAATGGAACAGAATAGAGAGCCCAGATATGGACCCTCAACTCTATGGTCAACTAATCTTCGACAAAGCAGGAAAAAATATGCAATGGAAAAAAGACAGTCTCTTCAATAAATGGTGCTGGGAAAATTGGACAGCCACATGCAAAAGAATGAAACTCGACCATTCTCTAACACCATTCACAAAGATAAACTCAAAATGGGTGAAGGACCTCAATGTGAGATAGGAATCCATCCAAATCCTAGAGGAGAACACAGGCAGTAACCTCTTTGACATCGGCCACAGAAACTTCTTTCAAGATACATCTCCAAAGGCTAGTGAAACAAAAGCAAAAATGAACTTTTGGGACTTCATCAAGATAAAAAGCTTCTGCACAGCAAAGGAAACAGTCAACAAAACAAAGAGGCAACCCACGGAATGGGAGAAGATACTTGCAAATGACGCTACAGATAAAGGGCTGGTATCCAAGATCTATAAAGAACTTCTCAAACTCAACACCCAAAAAACAAATAATCAAGTCAAAAACAGACACTTCTCCAAAGAAGACATACAAATGGCTAACAGACACATGAAAAAGTGTTCATCATCATTAGCCATCAGGGAAATTCAAATCAAAACCACATTAAGATACCACCTTAGAAAGGCAAAAATTGACAAGACAAGAAACAACAAATGCTGGAGAGGTTGTGGAGAAAGGGGAACCCTCTTACACTGTTGGTGGGAATGCAAGTTGGTACAGCCACTTTGGAAAACAGTGTGGAGGTGCCTCAAAAAATTAAAAATAGAGCTACCCTATGACCCAGCAATTGCACTACTGGGTATTTACCCCAAAGACACAGATGTAGTGAAAAGAAGGGCCATATGTACCCCAACGTTCATAGCAGCAATTTCTGTGGAAAGAGCCGAGATCCCCTTCAACAGATGAATGGATAAAGAAGATGTGGTCCATATATACAGCGGAATATTACTCAGCCACCAGAAAGGATGAATACCCAACTTTTACATCAACATGGATGGGACTAGAGGAGATTATGCTAAATGAAATAAGTCAAGCAGAGAAAGTCAATTATATGTTTTCACTTATTTGTGGAACATAAGGAATAGCCAGGAGGACATTAGTAGAAGGAACGGAAAAGAGAAGGGGGGGAAATCAGAGGGAGAGATGAACCATGAGAGCCTATGGACTCTGAGAAACAAACTGAGGGTGTTAGAGGGGAGGGGGGTGGGGAGATGGGTTAGCCCGGTGATGGGTATTAAGGAGGGCATGTACTGCATGGAGCACTGGGTGTTATACGAAAACAATGAAGCGTGGAACACTATATCAAAAACTAACGATGTATGGTGATTAACATAACATAATAAAATTAAATTTAAAAAATAAAGGCTGAATAATATTCCATTGTATGTATGTACCACATCTTGTTTATTCATTTATCTGCCGATGGGACTTGGGTTGCTTCCACCTTTGGGCTATTAGTAATAATGCTGCTCTGAACATGGATATACCTAGCTGACATCTTGACTACAACCTCATGAGAGGTCCTAATTCAGAACCAGCTGTTAGGCTGCTCCCAGCCTCCTGACCACCGGACACTGAGATGATAAATGTTTGTTTTAAGCTGTTAGGTTTTGGGGTAACTGACTACCATAGATAACTAATACACCATGTAAGGGCGGGGGGCCAGTAGAGGGACATGGCACACACTGGCTGATAAAGCCCTCAGTTGAATAATGATGATGGTGAGCTTGACAGTGGCAATAATAATCAATATGTGTTAAGAACCCACTCTGATTATCATTTTCCCCAAAGTTTTGAAAAATAACTACGGTTTTAACAGGAGCATAGGGAAGAAAGTGGTGGAAGGAGAGGCACCCAATGCAGAAAAAATAGATTATGCAGATGTTTAGAGATATGAAATGGTCTTATGTCTAGGGATCTAGTTAGAGGATAGGCAATAATCGAAGGTAGACAGGTAGGCAGGAATCAGATTACTGAACGTCCTGGGAGCCATGTTTTTAATATCCACACTAAAGAAGCCTTATGGTCACTTATCCATGCCTTTTCTCCTGCAAATTCAAAAACTATATTCTATTCATCTCATTTACATCCAACACATAAGCCATGTTGTTTCTTACATTCAGAATAATCTTGGCATCGACTCGGGGCAGCTCATGCACAAAATGCAAGATCCGTTAGACCAGGCAGAGAAGAGGGTCCAAGCTGCCTTTACCCAGCCAGTGTCAGACGTGTTCCAGAAGATGTCTGATTTGGTCAAGTCCACCCACCGTCTGCCAAAAAATTAAAGAAAGTCAGAACCCTCAGCAATGCTTCTACCTTTAAAAAGGATTACATTACCCCTGTTACTTTATTTGGAACCTTGCCCATAGTGGGTACTCACTTATAGTTATCAAATCTGTACAAGAACCATAAAGTCAATCTTTGTCTCAACAAGCATTCATTGAACATATTCTAGGTATTTATGCCCTAGGTGAAGGATATAGAATTAAAAAGACAGCTCCCATGCTTTTAAGAGTTCACAGTCTAGTGGGAGTGATCTATAAGGGAACACATCAGCTCCATACAATGTGATGAGGGCACATTCTTTATTCAACACTTATTCTGGACTTGTCATCAGAGTCTAGGAAAGAATGATTAGTGTTGCTTTGGGGGGCTTATAGGTTAGTAAGTATCAACATCCAGGAGGCCTGTGGAGAGCAAGCTTTCGTAGAGTTCAACACAGAGCTTTATGCAATTACAGAGAACGGGCACCTAACCCAGAGAAAAGTTGGAGATGGGGTCTGAGAAATGCTTCCCCAGAGGAGGTGAGGTCTGCGTGAGATGTAATGATGCATAGGAGCTACCCGGGGGAGGCTGAGAAGGAAGGACATCCCAGGAAGGGGAAGCAGTGCTTGTGAGCATAGAAAAGTGATCATGTTCTGCACTTGGATTCTGGGACACATGGTCTCCTGGTCCTCAACCTACTCAATGGCTGCTCCTTCTTGGTCTTCTCCTCTGAGTTTTCCTTGCTTCTCCCTTCATTGTGGAAAGGCCTCAGGCATTCAGCGCTGAGGCCTCTTCTCTTCTCGGTGTCCATTACTTCTTCACCGATCTCATCCAATCTCATGGCATTAAGGACCACCTTGCTGATAATTCCAGCATGAATCTTTCCCACTACTCTACACATGAATCTCTCCAACTGCCTCCCCAGTATCTCCATTCTTAACTTAGGGTATGGAGATGTCTACTAAGCATCTCAAACTCAGAACGCCAAACACAGACTCCTCATGTTCCTCCCACCAGACAGCTCATCCCAGTCTTCCTGCTATCAGTTAATGCTTCTGGTTGTTCAGGCCATAAAACCTGGCGTCATCCCTGACTCTTCACTTTCTCTCTTGCTTCATGTCAAATCTGTCAGGAGATCTTATCAGGCCTACGTTCACAATACATTCAGAATCTTAGCTCCTCTCACTCCCCGCCCCGGGGAAGCCTCCACCTTTGCCTCTTAACGCGACTGTTCTCTGAGGTGGGCCTCTGCTTCATCTCTTGCCCCCTACAGTTTATTCTCAACCCAAACTCCTGCAAGATCCTTTAAAAAAAAAAAAAAATCAGATCACGTCAATCCTCTGCTCAAAATACTCCAGTGTTCCTCAGAAAATTAAACATAGAATCACCGTACAATCCAGCAATGCCACTTCTGGGTATATGCTCAAAAGAATTGAAGGCAGAGTTTTGGAAAGACATGCTTATATACCCATGTTAAGAGCAGGACTAGTCACAACAGCCGAAAAGTTGGGGAGCACCCCAAGTGTCCATCCATGGGTGACTGGGTAAACAACACTGGTATGTCACACACATGGTAATATTGTTGAGCCTTAACAAGGAAGGAAATTCTGACACCTGCTACAACGTGGATGAAACTTGAGGACATTATGCTAAGTGAAATGAGTCAGACATCAAAGGGAAAATACTGTATAATTCCCCCTATAGGCAGTTCCCAGAGTAGTCAAGTTCATAGAGACAGAAAGTAGAATGGCGGTTGTCAGGGGGGAGCAGGGAGGGAATGGGAAATTATTGTGTAATGTGTATTGGGTAATGTGGATTCAGATTTGCAAAATGGAAACGTTCCCGAGATGGATGGTGGGGATGACTGCACGACGTGAATGTCCTTAATGACACTGAAGTCTACACTTAAAAATGGTTAATTTTATGTGAAGTATTTTTTACCACAATTAAAAACAAAAATAGAAACAAAAAACCTCCAATGGCTTCTCACCTCTCTCAAAGCAAAGCCCAAAGCCTTCAGATTCTACCGGATTTGCCACTTTGTTAGCTCTCTGACCTCACTCTTGCCACTGTGCACCTTACTCACATTCCTCCAGCTCACTCCCTACTTTCTTTCCTTGGACCCAGCAGATGAACTGTCCCCTGGTACCTTCCACTGGCCAGAAAACCCAGTCCGTAGCTGGCCTGGGAGTGCTCAACCATCTTGGGGGCCCCGGTGGTGCCACTTGTGAAGTAGATGGCCAGAGGGTCTTGACTCTTGGTCCTCACACAGTTGTGCTCTGTGGATGCCTCACTGTAAAATATAAAAATCCTCGGTAGCATTACAAGTAGTAGAAATAGTCATCATAATAATATTTATAACAATACTGGCCACCATTTTAATAAATACTCCATGTGAGGCACTGTGCTAGAAGCTCCAGCTTGCATCTCTGGGCCCTACGATGACCTCCCGGCATAGGTACTACTCTCATTAGAAGCCTTTGTAAATAAGGAAATGGAGGCTCAAAATTGGTGCAGTGACTCACTCAAAAGAGCCTGTGCTCCTCCAGCAGGGCAGGAGGACTTTCTGGTGGAACACGCACGTTTCCGTGACTATGCTTCTGCACAATGGGGCACAGCCTCACGCCCACCTCAATTCCCAATAGTTTAGGGCTGAAGGGTTCCCTAAATTCAGAGATTTGAGATCTGCATAATTCCTGAAGGTCTGTGATCTGGAGAATCTTCTCACCGACTGGTTCTCAACCCTGGCTACACCATAGGAGCACCAGGTGAGTTTTTAAAAGAAATACCATTGCTTGGGCCCCACCCTGGAGAAAAACCAGAATCTTCAATGGTGGGCCTAGGCATTGGGGGTTCTTTTGTGGTTTTGTTTTTGAGACAGAGTGCGTGTGAGCACTTGAAGGGCGGTGGCAGGGGGAGGTGGTAGGGGGAGAGGGAGAGAGAGAATGTTAAGCAGGCTCCATGCCCAGCGCAGAATGCAACACAGGGCTCTGTCCCATGACCCCTGAGATCATGACCTGAGCTGAAATCAAGAGTTGGATGCTTAACTGACTGAGCCACCCGGGTGCCCCTGTGGTTTTTGTGTGTGTGGTTTTTTTTTTTAAAGCTCCTCTGTTAATTCTGATGACAGGCGAAATTGAGAATCACTGGTCTAGGCCAACCTGACAGCTCACAGAAATCATCTGGGCAGATCTCTTACAACACAGAGTCCCAGGGCCTTAGCTCAGATATGTCTGGTTACATAAGTCAGATGGGGGGGGGGGGGGCCTTAGAACCTGAATTTAAAACAGCACCCGGAGATAAATAGCTAAATAAAATTTTAAAAAGAGAATTTTCCATAATCTTAGGGTAGAAAGTTTGCATTCTAGGGTAGGCAAGAACAATCTGAAGCGTATTTACCATGTCCGCAAACTTAGAAATATATCTTTTGTACTTAACTTCATTACCTATACATGTTAAGTATCTTCTGTTTCAGTTTCTGCTGCTAATCACTACATTGAAATATAATAATATAGAATTTTTAAAAAGCCACATGTTGGAAATACAGTATTTTGGAAAATACAGGATATATTATTTATAATGCATGCTTGTGGGTCTTATCCTAAAAATTGTGACACATTTAAGAGAATGTGGCACATAGTTCTTTTTCAAATGAAGCTACTGATAAGAGACAAATGTTGATATTAGTAAAAAAATAAATAAATAAAACAAAGTAGAACAATACCCAGGTGAATGTGAGACAGCTGGTCTGTGGGATGGGCATTTGTGACTTAATGGTGCAGGCCCCTGACAGGGCCCCTTTTTGCTTCTGCTTCTGATCAAGACAAAATCTCAAATTCCCAGGTAGGCTTCCACCAGGGCATTGCTCAAAGCAAAGGGCTTTTGGTTCTGTCCCAATCTGATGTAACTACTTGTTAGCATCTTGCATAAGTCACTTTACTTATCAGTTCTTCACCTGTAAAATTGGGTTAAAGTGCATTTCATAGGGTTTTTTCCAAGGATTAAATAAGACGAAGTCTGATTCATTATTGGGCTCTGAGCACCAAACACAATGCTTATAACAAAATAGATGTTCATTACACCTTGGTGCATGAATGAATGTAAATAAATGCTTACCTAGCACTATGCCTGGCATACACTAAGCACACGATGCATGGTAGCTATTATTATATTACTAATTGATCACCTACTATGTCCTAAATGAATCCTATGGGTTATCTTGTTTACTCTGGCTAATAGCTTTGCAACCACCACCACCATTATTGAAGTAAATGACGCCCAGAAAAGCTAATGATGATTCTAGTAGCTAGTCACTGCCTCAGCGAGTGACTTTGAAGGATCTTAAAGTGGTCACCAGAATTAGATCTCAAGTCCATCTGGCCCCAGTGAGTGCTCCTTTCTGGTTTACTCTCTTCCTGAACAATCAGTGATGCATTCCATCTCCTATTACTTAAAGGGGAAAAGCCTTGGCCTCGTCTTTATGTTGTTCTCTGGAGAGCCCCAACTTACTGGAGGAGTTCCCTGAAGTTCATCCAGCCTGGTCGACTGCCGTCTGACACCAGTAGCTTGGACTGGAGGGAGGGACAGTCGGTGCTAATGGCGCCCACCCGCGGAGCCAGGGAGTCACTGGTGATAATGGACTTGGCCCCGGACGCCTGCAGCCAATATCTGAGGTCCTTCTCCGTCAGCTGAGAGACACCTGGGATCATGACAGCCCCTGGAATCACACAGAGAAGGGATGTTGACTGGGCGACAGGGGAAGACCCCTGTGAAGAGGTCCAGACCAGATTTCCCCATCAGAGATAGGAACAGGAAGGGACTAGAAAGAGATGGAATGCCTGAACTGGCAAAGGTAACAATAATGATAATAATGAAATCCAGACTGTGTTTATGGAGCACTTACACATGCTAAGAACTATACATGCCTTATTTTATTTAATTCTCACAACCCTGGAGAGTAGATGCTATTATTACACCCATTTTGCAGATTAAAACAACAACAACAGCAACAATTAAGACAGACCCTGATGCCTTAATTAAATGGGATAACTTGCCCAAGGTCACATGGCTAACATTTTGTAGAGCTGGGATAGTGAATCCAGGAGGTAGTAAGCCTAGGCGTCCATGATCTCGAATATTATATTATATTGCCTTAGAGATGACCTAGTTCAATGGTTTTCCCTGCCTGCAAATAAAAGGCTATGACAAATCCTAGTGTTGAGAGTGGATCTCTTGGGGTGGGAGGCAGGAGGGCAGATATAGTAGGTGGGAGCTCCAGGACTCATATAACTTCAACCAAAGCCGTGCTGAAGGTACCTGAGTCCATCTTTTCCTAAGCGGAAAGGATGTGGAAGTGGAAATCAGCAACAAATTTTAATCAGACACGTGAAAAACCACCTGAGTATCTCAGAACGGAGGATGTAAACACCCCCATGGAACCAAGCACTCTCATTTCACAGATGAGAAGAGATCCTAAAGGAATCGATCATCCTGCCATGGCCAGTGAGTGAGGCCAGTAAACAGAGGAAGAGGCCAATCCCAAATGGTGTAGGAGCCAAACCAGAGTTCTCATTACCCTTCCCTTTATTTCCTAAACTTTTACAGGATTTAAACCCCAGCATGAACACTTTTGGAGCTAAATGGTGTTTCTTGGGTTCATCTCTCTGCTTTAGCTATTTCCAGAACAAGTCTGTCCCACCAGAGTTGTGTGTGGTGCTTTGGGAGCCCAGTCAGAGGGTGGAGAGCTGGGGCTTTCAGCAAGAGAAATGAGTCCAATACCTTAGACTGGAAGAGAGGTGATCAGTGCACATCAGGAGAACGTGAGAATGTGAGAATGTGAGGACATCCAGCTTGGGTATCCTCTAAGATGTTGGAGAGGATGCTGGGCTTGACATAGTCATATGTGTTGTTGTCTTGAGTTATTTTATTTGGACATCAAAGAAATGGGTGAAGCTGCCTAACTGGGGGAACTGGAGACATTTAGGTAATAGGGAAAAGAATGAAAATAATACCCCAAAAGGAAGTTTTGATCATGCAAAGTGCCCAACACAATGCCTAGCATATAGTAGGCCTCAAGAAAAGTATGAGGGCTCCCTTACCTTGGCCCTCATTTAAATAAACCTTATATGTCATGTAAGAATATGGAGAACTCCCCAAACCTGTGTGCCTCTTTCTTTTCCTCTAGCTGGATACACTAGAATGGTGTTCACTTTTATATATTGTGCAAAAATATATAAAAATAAAATGAAAGTTCCTGCTTTTTTTTTTTTTTTTTTGACAATCCAGTCACAAAATGGTTGACTAAACTTGTTCATATAAAAAAGCTAATTCTCTGGTGTGAGTTTGTATCCCTCTGTTTTGCAAACATTATTTGTGAAAACATCTGTATTTCAGGTAGATTGTTCTGTGGACATGATTGGGAGGGGGTGGACATTTCAAGTGGTAGAAAGTTCCCAGTGGATGGAGAAACCAGCTCTCCACCAAAAGTAATTGTCTTGTTTTTGTAAAATCAGCAAAAAAAACGCCCAGCCCTTCCAATAAGAGCATCAGACAGGGTCAGCAGAGGCTCTCTGAGTTCTATGGACTGTCCTTTTGCCTCCTCTGCTGGAAGAATCATCCCAGGAAGATCAATGGCCCACTGCCTTGGCCATTCATAACAGCAGGAGGAGGAACCCTCAAGGGATAATCTTATTGCTTTGATTATTTTGTCCTTCTCTTCTTTCCCTTGGGAGCTGGTAAGATGCTGCGGTGGTGAGAGCCATAAAGTCTAAGAGTGAAACTAATGTAGATTGATTATGAAGATCTCTTATCCATAACTGCATTACTCTTCACACACTAGTGGCTTCTAAACCAAAACCAGCAAAAAAAAATATGTTTGGTTTGTCTACTCAGAATTTTTTAAAAGTTTATTTAGTTCTCAACAGTAAAAGATCAGAAGTTGTTTTTTGTTTTGTTTTGGTTTTTTTTTTCATAAAAATCCAGTTTTCTATCACAAAGTTAGAAGTGCTGGCAATACTGTCCCTCCTTCACACCTGGAAACATCTGGCTGGGTCGAGAAGCACTTGTCCCTGTGTGATGAGGCATGTGAGCTCCAGTTTACTGCAGTCCCCACTGCTCCCTACTGCCTCACACTAACCTACTTTCATCAGTTACATTACCATCTGACCCTTGTGCTCAAATTTGTGATTGTGGGGCAAAGGGGAGGTAAACAAAACTCCACACGGTTCTCTTTGTTCCATCTCCCAAACCATGTGGACTATGCAAAACTCTGGCAGGTGTGTCTACCCCAAATGGTAGTCTCAGCCCCGCTCACTGACCTGTCCGTATGCATGCCACGCTGACCAGCCACCACTCTGGGAGCCGCGGAGCACCAGCATCATCCTGTCCCCAGGCTGAAGGCCACACATGTCCTGGAGCACATTAGCCACATTCCTGGACTGCTCCCCCAGCTCCTCAAAGTTCCACTTGACCTCTGTTCCCTTGCCATTGACCCACCAGAATGCGGGGATCCGGGGCCAGTGCCCAGCCTGGACAGCAGTGTAGGCAGAAAAGAAATAGAAAACATTTGTTGAGGATTTTTGTTTGCTTGTTGTTTTTTTTTTAATTTTATTTTTCTGTAGTTATTACAGTCACCGGGTTCCAATTCAAAACAACAAAAAGATGCATTGAGAAGGCTTACTCCCATCCTTGCGCCCATCTATCCTGTTCTCCACTTCACCTGCCTCAATGTGTAACCAATATTATTAGTTTCTTGCATATCCATTCAGTGTTTCTTCAGGCAAACAGTAAGTATATTCTGTTTTCTGTATCACCTTTTTAATGCAAAAGGTAGCATACGATTCATACTGTTCTGTATCCTCCTCTCTTCTTGAGATATAATTCTCATGCCATAAAATTCACTATTCTGAAGTGCACGATTTAATGGGGGGTTTTTTTTTGAGATTTTTAACACTTTATTATAAAGTAGCCTTTCTGCTAGATAGTTTTGCCATCTAACTGACATAAGTGTTTTGAGCATGTTGAAAGTAGGCGAGGCTATGCTATGATGCTCAGTAGGTTAGGTGTATTAAATGCATTTTCCAATTATGATATTTTCAACTTACAATGGGTTTTTTTTGCTTTATTTTTTAAATTTTCTAATTATGTTCTGTTAGCCAACATATAGTACATCATTAGTTTTTGATGTAGTGTTCAATGATACAAGAAGATCTAACAATTATAAATATCTATGCCCCCAACATGGGAGCAGCCAATTATATAAACCAATTAATAACCAAAATAAAGAAATATATTGATAATAATACATTAATAGTAGGAGACCTCAACACTCCCCTCTCAGCAATGGACAGATCTCTAAGCAAAAGATCAACAAAGAAACAAGAGCTTTGAATGACATATTGGACCAGATGGACTTTGTAGATATATACAGAACATTCCATCCTGAAACAACAGAATACTCATTCTTCTTGAGTGCACACGGAACTTTCTCCAGAATGGACCACATACTGAGTTACAAATCAGGTCTCAGCAGATATCAAAAGATTGAGATTATTCCCTGCCTGTTATCAGACCACAATGCTTTGAAACTGGAACTCAATCACAAGAAAAATTTGGAAGGAATTCAAACACTTGGAAGTTAAAGAGCATTCTGCTAAAGAATGATTGGGTCAACCAGGAAATTAAAGAACTTAAACAATTCATGGAAACTAATGAGAATGAAAGCACATTGGTCCAAAATCTATGGGATACTGCAAAGGCTGTCCTAAGGGGGAAATACATAGCCATCCAAGCCTCTCTCAAAAAAGTAGAAAGATCCCAAATGCACAAGCTAACCTTACACCTAAAAGAGCTGGAGAAAGAACAGCAAATAAAGCCTAAACCGATCAGGAGAAGAGAAATCATAAAGATTAGAGCAGATATCAATGAAATAGAAACCAGAAAAAGAGTAGAACAAATCAATAAAACTAGAAGTTGGTTCTTTGAAAGAATCAATAAGATTGATAAACCTCTAGCCAGACTTATTCAAAAGAAAAGGGAAAGGACCCAAATTAATAAAATCATGGATGAAAGGGGAGAGATCACGACTAACACCAAGGAAATAGAAACAGTTATTAGAAATTATTACCAGCAACTATATGCCAACAAATTAAGCAACGTGGAAGAAATGGATGCTTTCCTGGAAACTTATAAACTACCAAGACTGAAACAGGAAGAAGTAGACAATCTGAATAGACCAATAACCAGTAACGAAATTGAAGCAGTAATCAAAAACCTCCCAATAAGCAAGAGTCCAGGGCCAGATGGCTTCCCAGGGGAATTCTACCAAACATTTAAAGAAGAAGTAATACCTATTCTACTGAAGCTATTTCAAAAAATAGAAATAGAAGGAAAACTTCCAAACTTGTTCGATGAAGCCAGCATTACCATGATCCCAAAACCAGGCAAAGACCCCATCAAAAAGGAAAATTACAGACCAATATCCCTGATGAACATGGATGCAAAAATACTCAACAAGATCCTAGCCAATAGGATCCAACAGTCCATTACAAGGATTATCCATTACGACCAGGTAGGATTTATTCATGGGATGCAAGGGTGGTTCAATATTCGCAAATCAATCAATGTGATAGATCACATTAATAAAAGACAAGAACCATATGGTCCTCTCAATTGATGCAGAAAAAGCATTTGACAAAATACAGCATCCTTTCTTGATTAAAACTCTTCAGAGTGTAGGGATAGAAGGAACACACCTCAATATCATAAAAGCCATCTATGAAAAGCCCACAGCAAATATCATTCTCAATAGGAAACCCTTAAAGTCAATTCAATGGTTTTTAGTATATTCACAAAGTGGTATAATCATTGCCACAACCTAATTTCAGAACATTTTCATTATCCTAAAAAGAAATACCATACAGATTAGCAGGCACTCCCTATTCCCCCCTCTCCCTAGCCCTTGGCAACCACTAATCTACTTTTTGTCTCTATGGATTTACCTATTCTGGATATTTCATATGAATGGAATCATATAATATGTGCCAGCACCACTAGCTGGAAAGATGATTTTTTTTTTAAAGATTTTATTTATTTATTTATTTATTAGAGAGCAAGCGAGAGAGAACAGCATGAGAGGGGAGAGGGTCAGAGGGAGAAGCAGGCTCCCCTGCTCAGCCGGAAGCCCGACGTGGGACTCGATCCCAGGACTCCAGGATCATGACCTGATCCGAAGGCAGTCGCTTAACCAACTGAGCCACCCAGGCGCCCTGGAAAGATGATTCTTTCCCCCTTGAATTTACTGGCACCTTTGTTGAAAATCAACTGACTGTAGATTTATGGGTTTATTTCTGGACTCTCAATTCTATCCCATTCATCCATATCTATCTTTTTACCAGTGTCACAGTGCCTTTTTTTTTCTCATACAGGCTTTATTACTGTCACTTAGTAGTAGGTTTTGAAATAGGGAAGTGTGAGTCCTGTTGTGTTTATCAACACTGATGTGGTTATTATGGGTCCCTTGTCTTTCCACGTGAAACTTTGGACAAGCTTATCTATTTCTGCAAAGAAGTCTACTGGGATTTTAATAAAGATTACTTTGAGTATCTAGATCAATTTGGAATATGTAATCATTTTTTTGCAACTTTATAATTTCTCCTTCAATGGCAATCAAGTCTAAAAAATGTACAGTTCAACTCTGTCAAGGGCAGACTTCAGTAAGGGCTAAATGCATACATAATGGAGAGGCTAATATTTTCTGGTGGTTCCTGTTTCTGAAAGTTGAACTTCCTCAGATGTGTTTTAGACTTTTCCCAAAATTGTCACTAAGGGATACGTTACTTTTGCATAACAAGGTAATATCTCAGGAGCATTCTGAGATTCACCCAAATCTTTAATGAGTGCTTCTTTAATAAACACTCCCTGAGCTAGTCCAGCCTTTGGTTAATTTCCAGAGTTCTATGAAGTAGATTCTGGCAATTTTTCCAAGGTTTTTTATTGTTGTTGTTTTTAGAGAAGATAAAATTTTAGAAAGTCCTTATTCCACCATTTTTGCTGATATAAGCCTATTTGTCTTATCTTTAGGAGAAGTCTTCCAAGGACGATCCCAGTGTGGGAAAAGAGCTCAGATTTTGTAGACAGGAATGGGGCACCCCAGCTCCATCTCTTACACACGCTTCTCATTTTATTCTCACAACAACTCCCGGTGGCAGATGGTATGACTTCCATTTTATAGATGAGAAAATTGAGATCCAAAGAGCTCAGGGCATTTGTACAAGGAACCATGTCTATCTGACTACAAAGCCACCTTCATACTTTACTATATCGACTAACAGTATACTTTTACTGAATCTACTAATAGTAGTATTTTCCTCATTGTTTTTCTTTATACAAGCTCTTCTTAAAATTAACGTAAGTAAATTGTGTTGAGATAAAGTTTATAGTCTCCTACTATAAAATAAAAGGTTAGCATCTTTAACATAAATAAAAAGTGACTATAAAATACAGAGAGATAGGGCGCCTGGGTGGCTCAGTCGTTAAGCGTCTGCCTTCAGCTCAGGTCATGATCCCAGGGTCTTGGGATCGAGTCCCACATCGGGCTCCCTGCTCCGCAGGAAGCCTGCTTCTCCCTCTCCCACTCCCCCTGCTTGTGTTCCTGTTCTCGCTGTCTCTCTCTGTCATATAAATAAATAAAATCTTTAAAAAAAAAAAAAATACAGAGAGATACACAGCAGACACCTAAAGAGGAGGGGAAAAAAAGGAAGTATATGCTCAGAGACACACAGAGAAATCAAGATGATTTTAATTCAATTCTACATATCTGCCGTGATCTGTAAAAAGCTTTGAGCCTCAGCCATGCTCTCTCCTTATTTAAAAGGGAAGTCCAGGGACACCTGGGTGACTCAGTCAGTTAGGTATCTGACTCTTGATTTCAGCTCAGGTCATGATCTCAGGGTCATGAGATTGAGCCCCATGTGGGCTCCACATGGGGTGTGGAGCCTTCTTAAGATTCTCTCTCTCCCTCTCCCTCTGCCCCTCACCTCTGTGCTCTCTCTCTCAGAAAAAAAGGGAAGTACACAACAGTGGGAGAAATATTAACGAAGAGTAGAAGCAGAACAGAATTTTCTCTTTTGCTTGATCAGAATGATGGGAAGGGAATCAAAGGCAAAATTGTCTCAACTATGTGATTTGTGTTCAGGAATATGAGACACAGCAGGGATTGGGCTAAGTGTCTAAGGCTCACGAAACTTGGTCATAATTCTTTTTTCTCCCTAAGGCTTAAATGCTAACCATTTAAGTTTTAGGACTTGCAAAATTCCCAGGTCAAAATGCTCACCTGTGTTGTAGCCTTTAGTCACACTGCGGTAACTGAGGGCAGCCTCTGAGACCCAAGAGGGACACTAGGACACAGTGGGCTTCACCTTTTCCAGCTGACTCCACATGTCCAGCACATCATGGGCAAAGTTGAAGTACTCAGGCACTGGCTGCCTCCCCAGGCTGATGGCTTCCCAGGTGGCCACAATTTTCTGAGGGTCAGGGAGAGGTGGTTGCTACCCGTGGGGCCCACAGAATCCCCGGGCACTTCTCAGCACCTTGAGGACCCATCCTCTTAGCCATGGCATCATGTTATTGCCTGCAGCCTGTCACCAAAGAGAAGAGAGAGAACACGATCCTGAATTCTGGGCTCTGTGGAGAGATTGAGCTGGAGGAGAAACCTGTAGTCAGCCCCAATGGTGACTACAGTACACACTGACTTGTAAACATAGTCTTGGGCCTTAGTCTTAAATCCACCGTGTGATTTTGATCATTTCTTCTCTCTGAGCCTGAGAGCCATCCCTTCCACCTCTCACTGCCTATGGATCTCTGTGGGTCTCAGAGCCCACTTCTCAAGGCTTCCCAAGCCCACTTTCCCAAGGTAAATCCTGAACTGGCCTGACAAAGCCAAAGAAAGCTCTGGGGCAACACTATCCAATGGAAATGTAATGTGAGCCACACCCGTAATGTACAATTTTCTAGTAGCTTCATTCAAAAAAAAAAAAAATTAAAAGAAACAGGTGAAATGAATTAAAATAATATTTTACTTAGCCAGTATGAAAGATGAAATAAAATGGGGTCATATATGTCAAGGGGTTTTAAAATGAGCCATGAGGGAGGTGGGCTCCTCACCAGTAGAACCATGAACTTTTGAACTATGCCAAACCACAGATACTCTAAGGACTCAGCCTGAATACCTGCAACTTGCTACAGTAGGAGACCTTAGTGATAGCCTTAGCCATCAATTATATTCAGTCAAGATTAGTTTTCTGCCACCAACATCAGTCAAAATTCTTTGTAAGCAACATATACAAACATTCCCTTTTGTCTTTAAAAACCCATGCTTTTGGGGGCACCTGGGGGGCTCCATCGGTTAAAGGTCAGACTCTTGATTCCAGCTCAGGTCATGATCTCAGGGTCATGAGATCAAGCCCTGCCTTGGCCCCCTGCAGTGGCTCCATGCTGGGTGTAAGCCTATTTAAGATTCTCTTTCTCCTTCTCCTGACCACTTCCTCTCTCTCTTAAAACAAAAACAAACCTTGCCTTTTGTTCCCTGGAGTAGGGGGTGGGGGTGGGTGGCACTATTTGAGTTGCTGCCCAAATCTGCATTCTCTGAATGGCAATTCTGAGGCCCCAAATAAACGTTTTCTTTTCTTTTTATTTTAGCTTTCCCTCTTTTCTTGGTCAGCACCGCTTATATATATCCTACAATTTCAACATGTAATCAGTGTAAAAAGAAACTACTAAAGAGAGATTTTACGTTCTTTTTTTTTTTTTTGTACTAAGTCCTCACAATCCAACACTTACTTCACACTCAGCGCACACCTCAGTTTGGACTAGCCACATACCAAGGGCTCAACAGCCGGGGGTGGCTAGTGGCTACCGTATTGCACAGGGCAGTCTCGGGGTCCTGCTGTTCAAAGTCTGGTCTATGGGACAGCAGCAGCAGCATCACCTGGGACCTGTGACACCTGCAGAAGCCCAGACCCCACCCCAGACACGTGGAATTAGACTCTGCACTTCAACAGGAGCCCGAGGGAGCTGCGTGCGCTTTGCTTAAAGAGAACTGAGAAGCAGATGCAGGTGCTTTCCACCAAATTCCTCTTGGTCCTAATAGTAACAACAGGATGTGGTACTGTAACTGCCAGCGATGAAAAGTTTGAGCTTCCCCCAGATTCGTTTATTAAATCCTAACCCCCAATGTGATCGTAGCAGGAGGTGGGGGCCTTTGGGAGGTGATTAGGTCCTGAGACCTCAGAGAGCTGGCTTGCTCCTTCGGCATGGGGAGGACAGAGCAAAAAGACGCGTCTATGAACCAGAAGCGGGCTCTCAGCAGACAGGAATCTGCCTGCCGCAATTTGATCTTGGAATTCCCAGTCCCTAGAACTGTGAGAAATAAATGTTGTTTAAACCACAGCTGCCCAAACAGACTAAGACAGTGACCAACAATAATAATGTGTCGCAATAACGAGAAAAACAAAAATAATCGCCATCTACAGAAGGCTTACCGTGTACCAAGCTTTGTAGATGTTATTTCCTTAAATCCTTACAACAACTCTATGATATAAATGCTCTTCTCTCTGTTTTACAGATAAAGAAAGTCAGGTTTTAAGAGGACAAGCGACTCGCAGGTCTCACTTCCCAGGAATGCCTAGGCCCCGCCTCTGTTGTGGCTACCAGCTCTGGGGCCTCGGACTCCCCTCCTCTGGCCCTCCCCCACTCCTCCCCTCCCCCCAACTCTGCCCCAAGCCTCTTCCTCTGCCTCCCTCCCCCCGATTCCTCTGCCCCTCGACAGCTGACGATTAGAATCCCCTGGCCTCCCTGCTCACCCAAGGCCATTTCAGGCATGCCCCTCGTTTGAAGCAGCGAAGGCCTCAGGGGCAGCGGACACCTGTCCTTGAAAAGATTTCTCTCCACATCACCTTGCTCTTTTTTTTTTTTAAGATTTTATTTATTTATTCATGAGAGAGAGAGAGAGAGAGAGAGGCAGAGGGAGAAGCAGGCTCCCGCGGAGCAGAGAGCCCGATGCGGGACTCGATCCCAGGACCCCGGGATCATGACCTGAGCCGAAGGCAGACGCTCAACCATCTGAGCCACCCAGGCGCCCCTACCTTGCTCTTGAGCCCAAGAAATGCAAAAGGGCTTCAACGTTCTGTTTCAGCTGAATGCAGGCCTTAAACATTCAAGTTCCTCCAGGACACTGGAGAAGGCAATTTGCTGACTTGACCTCCCGCCTGGAACTTTGGCCCCAAACGCAGCCGAGAGAGAGAAGAGCCGGAAGCCAGCAGAGGACGCAGTGGCTTCGACCGGCCAGCTCGCCTGGAGCCAGCGCGAGCGGCCCCGCCCAACTATTCCCACAGCTCGCGGTGGCTCTGGTGGACGTCTTCCCTGAAAATTCAGGTCACCGCCTCATCTGAAGAGAGAACAGGAATTTCATTGTGTTCTACCGGAAAGGATACAGTCGTAACAATAACATAAGCTAACCATGTTCCTTTTCTCCTCCAAAGCCTCCAATGCATATAGACAGAAAGGAGATTAGCAGTTGCCTGGGGCTGGGTATGTGAACAGGGAATGACTGCAAATGGACACAAAGGCTCTCTTCGAGGTGACAGAAATGTTTTAAATTTGGACTGTGGTCATGGCTGCACAACTCTGTAAATGTATTACTACTACCGATAATAATAATAACGATGATGACGATGGCATATTTGAATGAATTTATGGTATGTAAAATCAAACCTAAAAAAAAATTTTTTTTTTGTAAGCCTCCTATGGCCCACTATCTGGCTCACAGTCCAAGCCGATGTTCCAAGAGCAGTCTGCAAGGCCCTACCTGATTTCCTGGCTCTCCACTCCTACCCACCTCCTAGCTCGGCTCCAGCCACACTGCACTGACTGGTCTGCCTGCCCTTTGTTCTCCCTGCTGCTGGTAAACTGAATCTCTGAGAACAGCAAAAAAGATCCTGTCTCACAGTGTTTGCCTATATCTGCGGTTAAATAGTCCCATGGTGGCCAGGCCAATTTCAAACAACCAAAGTTTTAACAACTGGCTTGCAAAATTCCTGATTACTAATGGTCCCTGGTACGCCCCTGTGAGCTGGCTCCAGCCAGTGCTGCTTCCAGCCTTTGTCCTTGTTGGCTTCCCTGCCAGGACGTTCCTTCCACACGGTTCACTGCCTCACCACTCACACACAGGCCCTATTCAGTGTGCCTTGGGCCACCGCCCCAACCCCAACTAGAACCTTCTCCCATCTGACACTTCCCACCCTCCCTTCTCTCCTTGATTTTCCTCCTTAGCCTTCATTCAATGTATTTTATTAAAAAAAAAAATTTATTTTTTTCCAGTTTTATTGTGGTATGATTGACAGATAAAATTCCATATATTTAAGGTATACGACATGTACGTTATGCAGTTAAGCTAATTAATACAACCATCACCTCTTATACTTGCTGTTCAATATTTTCTATTAACTCACTGTGTCATCCGTCCCCTGCCACACATGTACGCTAGAATATAAACTCCACAAGGACGGAGATCTTAGATTTTCAGTACAGCTCTATCTTCAGGACAGTGCCCTGCCACGTAGTGAGAGTTCAGTAAATATTTACTGAGCCAGTGAAGAGTAAATGAGAACTAAAAGTTAGTGAACAGTTTTTATCTGCCAGACATTGCTATGTGTAGGAGGTGAAAACTGACCTCCAGCATTCTAGGTACAAAGTTTGCTTGTTTTTTCTCCTCAGAATCAAACCTAGGCTGGCGTAAGCTCTCAGTCTCCAGGATCTGTGGGAACTCCAGGCTCACTTACTCTTCAGAGCACCTTCCTTACCTATCCTTAGAAGTGGCTCAGGGTCCTTCCGATGGAAGAGAGGCTATGGGTGCCTCATGGAGAGGATGCTTACGTATCAGCCTCCTCGCTCTGCAGTAGTTAGCAACACACTGGGTGCTGGCCCTCCGCTGTGTTTTGTTCCCCTGTGCCTCTGGCTCATTTCCTGGCCAGGCCAGGGTGGCCCATTTCCATGGAGGCAGCAGCTCCTCTCCCTCCCCACCAAGCGTGGCCACAGAGAATCATCTCTTTGGCCTTCAAATTCCATTTCCCCTCAGTGCCCAGACCTCTCTACTGGGTCCCAGGCAACCATTCTCATCTGCAAATCTGCAGCCATATCTAAAGATACAATCTCTACTCTCAGGGAGGTGGATGGACAGATGACCTGCTCTTCAGGCAGCCTGGTCTCAACATCACTGCTGTCCATCAGTATTTGGTAAGAATCAGGCAGCACAGAACTGGGGCGGGGTGGGAGGGGAGCTGCAGACTGACAAAAATGATGATCATGCTAACAATAACAATAACTGCCTTCCGTTTAGTCATTCAACAAAGATTCTGGAGCATCTGTTACCTGCTAGGCAAAGTAAATTATAAGGAATTTAGAAGGTCCTGTGAAGAAAAATAAAGCCGAGAAAGAGACAGAAAGTACCCGAGAGTGGGTTGGGGAAGTTAATGGTTTTAAGCAAAGTGATCGGAAAGACCCAGCCTGAGAAAGTGATATTTGAGCAAAGACTTGCAGGAGATTGAGAGAGTAAACCTGAATACACCTGGGTGAAGAGCTGTCAGCAGAGGAAACCACAAGTGCCCCTGAGGTGGGAGTGTGACTGTCACACTGGAGGAACGACAGGAAGGCCAGTGTGGCTGGAGCAGGGAGTGGGACAGAGGCTAGGAGGTGGGACGAGGGCCGGCTTTCTGCCCTCGGGGTACCCTGCGCTCACTTGGCTCATGTCAGCTTGGCTAACCCTTCCGACAGCCCTGTGAGTTCAACCATTTTACACGTGAGAAAATGACTCAGAAAGGGTCAGTGACAGGTCCAAGGCCACATAGCTGATTAGGGACGGAGCTGGGATTCCAATTCTAATGTTTAGGCACCAAGTTCTGAGCCCCCCTCCTGTGCCACTCCCAGCACCCCAGGGTGTGTTTTGTTCCTGATGCCCCCTGTGACCTCCAGCCCCACCCCTGTCCTTGGCACGCTCCTCTCAGCAAAGGCAGGGCAGGGTCTTCTTACCCAACAATGGTCATTCTTCCCCAGGGCCACCCTGGTCCTCCAGAACCCCAGAACTTGGAACACTGCTGCTCAGGCTGTTGCAGCCCCAGTGTGTCCAGGAAAGAGGGACTTCATTTCTGCCTCTGGATTTCTTTATAACACCCAGCGGCCTGTGGCTCCTTCTCCGTCGCAAAGGGAAGCCAGGAGCCTGCTCTTCAGGCCACGACCTGACCTCCCTCCTCAAGTGCCCTGGAGTTTGCTGCCTAGCTGGGCCCCAGCAGGTCTGAGTGTAACTAGGCTTCCCACAGGTATGCGCTTGAGTGAAAAGGGCAATTCTGACCACCGGGCCCTGCCCAGGCCGCCTTCCTTCTGCCAAGGTGGTTACAAATTTAAGTGTAGTTTACTGTGTAGATGGCTACACATTAGTATTACCTGAGGGGCTTTAAAAAAGAAAGGTGCCCAGACTCACCCCATACAGACGAATGAAATCAGAACCTAGAATGTTTGGGCTTGAGCATCAGTATTTTCTTGAGGTTCCCCAAGAGATCCTAATGTGCAGTCATGGTTGAAAATCACTGAAATGAACGGTGAGGTTTGTGTGAGAATTAAATTAGGTCATTTTGTTCATTCATAAATTCAAAAACATTCACTAAGCTCCAGATCTGGACCAGGCACTGTTCTAGGGGGTGGGGAAACAGCTGTGAACAAAGACACTCACATGAAGAAGTTTAGAAACATACACACTGGATACTCAGAAAGAATAATACAGGATTTGAAGCAAACAGGGGTGATGTCGCCAAGAGTGCTGGAGGCAGAGGTGGCGGTGGGGGGACAGAGCAGCCTGGGAAGACCCTTCCTCGGAGGAGCTGGTGTTTTTGCTGGGACCTAAATGACCAAAAAAGGCTGCAGATCAGGGTAAGGGTGTTCCAGGTAGAAGCAAAGGTCCCAGGCAGGGTGTGCCTGAGGAAAGGGAAGGAACCAGCATGGCTGACATGCTGTGAGTGGGAGGGAGAGCAGAGAGCTGAGGTCAGAGGGTGAGGATGATGGGTGCAGAGCTGCAGTGGACTGTATATGATGGCAGGCCCCTGGACTCTTCCATAAGAGAGTGATGTGATCTAAGCTATGTTTCAGAAGGAAATCTCTAAATTCTGTGTGAGGAATGGGTTGGGGGAAGGCAAAAAGAATAAGCAGAGAGGAGGCCACTGTTCTGACCAGACCAGACACAATGGTGGCCGGGACAGAGGGCTGTTGGTGGTGGAGACCAGGGACATTTCGTGCTCAAAGCAGTGGCAGGTGCTAGCAAGCCCTTCTGCCTTAGCTACTCTTATTCTTATTTATTCTTACTCACAAAAGTTTCCTATCATGGCCCTCCTCCGTCTGTGGGGGTGGGGGGTAGAGATGCTGGAACTAGGCTTGAAATGTGTGTGGCTGGGGCTGAGCTTTCCTCAGAGGGACACAGAGGAGCCACTGGGTCATCAGGCCAGAGGGGTGGGTGCAGGGAGGGGCTGGGTTCCTGGGCAGGGGCAGGGGCAGGGGTCTGGGTGGGGCTGAGGGCACAGCGACGGGGGTTGGAATCAGAATGGGGTCCAGAGTTTGAGGGGGAGCCCTGTCATGAGCTGAGCTGTGGCCAGAGAGGGTCTCAGGAGAGAGAGCAAGGGGTTGTGTGTGGAAAGGGGGTGGGGGGGTGGGCAGAGAGAGAGAGAGAGAACCTGCCCCCTCGCACTCTTTTCCCAGAAATGCATATAATTCACTTTCTTGCTCCCTTCAGTCTGTTGAACAAAATAAATTTTAAAGATCTTATTGGCTTTGTTCAGTAATTCATGAATCAGGCAGCATCCCATCTAGCAGATGGAAAGGAGCTCTGAGGAGCTGTATAATATGAAAGACTTTTATAAGCTAAAGGGAGCAGGAACAAGGAAATTATACTAGACAAAAAGTCTGGTTGGTAATTACAAGGTCGCCTTCCTTTAGGGGGTGGCAGATGATCTAACTAGTGCTGATCAGGTGACTGCTGATTGAGTGGTTTAATATTCCATTTCTGGGAGAGCCGAAGACTGTAACTAAGTTAAGTCTCAGTTTGGTGACATGGGACTCACCACAAGTGACTCCATTTGGGGCCTGTTGTCTTGCTTTTAACGAGTCAAACAGCAACTTCTGAGTGAAGTTCTCATGGTCGCCCTATTTAAAGTGTCAACGTGCCCCGTTTCACAGGCTCAATTTCAAATCTTCCCTGATGGGCTTTTTGTCCTTAGCGCTCATCAGCATCTGACAGATAGTCATATATTCTTATTTCTTTATCTCATTCACTATGTTCCCCCTCCTGTAGAGTGTAAGCTCTGCGAACACAAGGGGTATTGTCTATTTTGTTCACTTCTCTATCCC